AATAATTATAGAACAGTGTATAAATACAAGCATTGAGAATAAAAAGTTATATTTGACCATATATTATGAGGTTTATTCAAGTTATAAAAGATAGCATGATCTAAGGAATAGTCATTTGGTGGGGTGTGGGACGTGATTGTGGGTTATAGTCTGCTCGAAATAAAGAGAGATCGGCGGGAGATCTAATCCCTAAACCAACCTTTGGTGTTAATGAAGCTTGAGCCCATACTGTTTCATTGAATTTTATATTCAAAATATTTTCGGTTAGACATTTTCCTTTTTTATAAATTCTGTGAGGGATAGGATATTTAAAAATAGGCGTTGAGCGCCCAGCATAAAGTATGCGTGGAATGTTAAAGAAGATTTTAAAGAAGACGAATGATTTATGCGAGGGCAGCAAGAAAAGGAGGTTATCAGGCTTAAGAAAGATATCAAGAATAGAGTGAAGGAAGGACTGATTGCAATGAATACGCCTACTGGGGAACCTAGATGTGTTAGCTTCTCCTTGGTGGCAATTTTAAAATAGGGGATTTTGATCGGAGGAATTTACTTGCACAAATTCGGATATGTAGGGTTGAGTATGAGACCAACAGCGCATCCCATTTCCTTAATAATGTATAAGCCCTTATTGATTTCCAATTGAGGTCAACTAGGAATAGAATAGGATTCAATTTAATACTAGCCACAATGGTTTTAGAATTTCTTTCCAACATCATGAATCTTTTACTGGGATATTTTTTTATATTTCTACATTTTACGCGTTGGCTAAAAAATAATGGCATTGAAAATTTCTTTATGAGCCCAAATGTTATAAAACATCTTTCTAGTATCAAAAATTTTAACTAGGCATAAAAAAATTTTTCCTCTTGGAGCAAAATATAATAGCAGTGCCAATTTAATTTTAGAACGTATCAAAACTTTAACTAGGTTTAAAGCATAGTATTAAAAAAAATTCATAATTATTTTTCCTTGTTGAGTGAAATATAATGGTATTGCCAATTTATTACTAAAGCGGTTTTAGAACATCTCTAGAGTATCAAAAACTTTGAACTAGACTTAAAACGAAATTTTAAAAAATTTTCATGAATATTTTTTCTTCATGAACTAATATTTAATGTTAGTACCAATTTATTACTAGACCCAAAGGTTTTAGAACATCATTTTAGTATCAAAAACATTTTTTATATTTATTTTTCCTCGTGGAATAATATAATGGCAGTGCTAATTTATTACTAGACCCAAAGGTTAGAACATATTTCTTGTATCAAAAGCTTTGGCTTACAAAGTTTAAAAAATTTTCATGATTTTTTTTCCTCATTGTGTAAAATTTAATGTCAGTGCCAATTTATTACTCGATCCAGAGGTTTTAGAACATCTTTTTAGTATAAAAAACTTTTAACTAGGCATAAAACAAAATTTTAAGAAATTTTCTTGATTATTATTTTTTCTTGGAATAAAATATAATAGCATAGCAGTGCCAATTTAATTACTATACATAATGGTTTTAGAACTCTTTCTAGTATCAAAAATTTTCAACTAAGCTTAAAGCATAGTCCTTATGGAGTAAAATAAAATAGCAGTATCAATTTTTATTATACCCAATGGTTTTAGAACTTTTTCTAGTATCAAAAACTTTCAACTAAGCTTAAAGCATAGTTTATTCCTTATGGAGTAAAATAGAATAGTAGTGTCAATTTATTACTAGACCTAATGGTTTTAGAACCTTTTAATATTATCAAAAACTTTTAACTAGACTTAAAACAAAGTTTTAAAAATTTTTCTCTATTTTCTCGTAAAATATAATGGCAGTGCCAATTTATTACTTGAACAAAGATTTTAGAATATCTTTTAATACCAAAAGCTTTAAACAGGATTAAAACAAACTAGTTTAATTTTCTATATATTTTAATTACCCAGTGAACCGACCCATAGGGTCCCATTGGGTCGGGTCTGATCTATGGCTAAATGGGTTGGCTCATGTTTAAGGTAGTTTTTTCCGACTCAAACCTTGCTGGGGTTTCAGCCAAGGCGACCCGACCCAGCAATTTACAACACTACTTGCTAACATTATCAAAATCGGAAATATTATTTCAAATTTTTGCATATTTATGTACAATACTAAAATCAATCTTATCATAGGACAAAATTTATGTATCTTTATAGCTTGAATTTAAACATGAGATCAAATGGTTTGATATGCCCCATGGTAACTAGCCTCTCTTTCTTCCCTTTTATGATTAGCTCCTATTTGATAAATTTGATTTGAGAATTAAATTATGCTATTATAAATTGGTATTAACGGTATACCAATAAATATATCACATATATTTGCCATAGCACTCTAATACCATTAACTTGGCTCAAAACATAGTAGTTAAAATATTTTCCTTGTATTGTATAAAATAGTAGAAACAATATTTTATTATACCCATAAGTCTTCTAACTCTTTTACAATCAAAAACCTATGTATTGGCTCAAAACAGAGTAATTAAAAAAAATTATTTATTTTTATTTTGTTTGTAATAAAAAAAAATGGCATAGCCAACTTATTTCCCGATTTGAAGTCTAGAACTCCACTCTAATACCAAAAACTTAAAATAATATTTTTATATTTATTTTATATTTTTCATGAGTAAAAATGATTAACATGCCACCTTTTTACTATACTCAAATGACTTAGAACTATTTTATAAAATGCCAATTTAACCCGGCTCAAAATAAACTATTTAATTTTCATTTCATATTTTTTTATCTTCCCGTAAAAAAAAGTAACAGATATATATGACAACTTCCAAATATCTTAAAATCCTTTTATAATAACCAAAACTTTAACTGTGCTCAAAACAGATTATTTGACACTTTCTCATGTTTTATTTTCGTTGTAGGGTAAAAAATAAGGGCGGTGCCAATATTTTATTAGACCCAAAGGTCTTATAACTTCTATCTAATAACAATACTCTTAGCTGGACTCAAAACAGGAATATAAAAAATTTTATATTTTTTGAGGAGGAAAAAAAGGGGAAGATTTCTTACTAAATTCAAAGGTCTTAGAACATCTTTTTAATACCAAAAATCTTTAACTGGGCTCAACCCTGAATATTAAATTTTTTTTTATATTTTATTATGTTTCTTTTATATAAAGAATAATGGCATTGCCAATTTATACTGGACCCAAAGGTCACTTCTTTCTAATACCAAAAACTTTTAAATAGGTTCAAGCAGAATATCTAAATGAAATTATATTTAGTTATTTTCTGTGTGGAGTAAAAAGGTAATGACTTCTAATTTCTTACTAGACCCAAAAGTTTTATAACATTTTTCCAATATTAAAAACATTTAATACTTAGATCCAGCGAGGCCACTTGATGAGTCGCTTCATGAGACCAATTGAGTTGCGTTTGCCTGATCAATGGCTCAATGGGTTGGCTCGGCCTTGAGGTATTATTTTTTGGCTCAGACTATGGTCAAGCTGGCCTGGCAGAGTAGTCTAATAACACGTGTTAGTAGTTCTTTTTTTTAGCTTCTTTTTTCGAATAATCATTCGATGGGAATAAATGAAACCTTAAAATTTTCGGTTGCCTATGAAAAGGTTTACAGCAATAGGATCATCGAGCTTCATATATTCCTAATTATTAGAAAAACATTAAGATTCACGAATATTTCGACAAACACATGTTGGAGTAACAAATCAGGGCCATGATTAGGGGAGAATAATCAGGGCGTCATCCTTTGACCACCAAATTTTACGTTGCCCAAGGTCGCAAAACAATTTTAGAATTTATTAATTAAATATTAATAAAGAATAAAGATTGAAAATTTATTAGAGCAAAAAACTATATCTATAGTTCCACATTTAAATAATTAAGGGAAACTAAATGGGAATGCAAATTAGAAAGTGTAAATGCGATCGCGGTAATATTTGCTTTATTATTGCAGAAAAAAAGTGTGGCAGAGAATTGAAAAGAATTCTCCATTTTTTATTACTCAAGTCATGATATGATGTTCTAGCACAAATGAATATTGTAAATAAGATGACGAAGCAACAGTATTGAATCAAATAATACAGTGATGCATATTGAAAGATGCATGAATTATTAGATTATTTTTTTAAAAAGGTTTTTAATTACCGCAAAACAATTTGCAGATGAGTTATGGTAGAAAAATGCTTTTCAACAATAAGATCAATTCAACCAAACCCGAAAAGCAGTTTCCATATGACGAAAAAGATAAACCTATACAAGATCCCGAGGAAAAACATCGTATTTTTTTAACGTTTTGATAATCAGGGTTTAATGTGAATACATGAAAGTTTTCAATAACTTAAATATTAATACTATTTTTGCTTCCTCTTCGATATATAAGCGTTATTAAACGCTTCTGAATCACGTTTACCATTCATTGCAATAAATTATTTGTTTTTCCTATGGACAAAGATTAAATGAAAAGTGGTATTAATTAGTAAGTTCTAATGACTAACTCTAAATATAAGTTATCCATACATATCATAAGTACTATTGTTAAAATTGCAATGTTAAAAGATAAGTAACAATTAAGATATCTTTTAAACTCTACCATCAGATTGAAGAAAATTATGTAATACCACCTGTTGAACCCAAACGCTAACATATGTTTTATCTAAACCTACATTTTTATCGTGTTTAATATGTTCTGAATTTACAAGTAATTAATAGCCATTAAAAGTCATTTTAAATAAAATTAATACGGGGTGACAAGTGAAGCGACATTTTAGCTGGAAACTAGAGAAAATTTAGAAAATAAATACGGTAGCAAAACTTTTTAAAATTCTTTTTTGAATAGGGTTTAAAATATTTTAATTAATATTTTTCTGCAATAAAATGATAGATTAATATACATATAACACCAATATTACAGATGAGGTAACTTTTTATTGAATAAAATTTTTTCCTATCACTCTAGCGTTTATCACGTTGATTAGTCATATTATAATACTTAAAAAATATGTCATATAAAAAATAGCTTTATTTAATTATCAAGGATGGAGCATGTAAAATTAACCATTCACTACAATCTTCCTCTTTCTCTATGTAAACTTCCAGGCATGGTTCTATTTTTTGTTTGAAGAAAACATCTTCATCGTATAACTTATATAAAGGCAAGGCGATGTAATTATCTTTCATCCTTGGTTCAATTTCCTAAAATAAAATATATAATTTGTATAAGAAAACACTAAAATTATCAACTTTTATATAAAATTTTAAATTATATATAGGCGTCATTAGGTCTGTATTTTCTTGACATTTCATCACTTTTTCATTTTTAAATATAAAATTTAAAGAGTATATTCCTTCAATAATTAAATTAATGCCATTTTCAGACTTTAAAAATATAACATATTCCGTTTTGTTTGGATTTTCACCATTCAATCTATAATATGTAAATAACGTTAAAAAATATTATATACCAAATATCAAATGTGAAATATGTGGAGTAATTATTCTATTATAATATTGTCTCAAACTTTAATGTCATAAACTTTATAAGATTTATTTGTGCGTAAAATCTACACCCATCAATATGATATGGATGTTGTCACCATTGAGAACATAATATTTATTATTTATATTTAAAGATTGAAGGTAATAGCGTAAGTGGAGGATATGTCAAGATTTCTTTTTAACTATCCTTAAGATTGTGTCAACTCAAATATATTTTTCGAATTCCATAACAACCCCTTTTTTCTATTTGAATTTAATAAAAATTTCTTACTTTTTAATTGTTTGAAATTTATAGAAAGCCCTTAAAATTAATGTATATGATGGAATCTATAAATAAATAAAGTTTATAAAAAAAATATTTTTTATACAATTTATTGATTTTCAATGATTTCTTTTACATTACCCCTTATACATTAACTCTGAATAAAAGATTATGTCCAAAAAACAAAGTTATTTGTTATATGCTTATTTTATTGTTTTTGATTAAAGTATAGTATATATATATATATTATAATGATCATAATTTTACTTGCAATGCCTCAATTTATAAAGATACAAGAAACTCTCCGGCTTTTCAAATAATGAAATTTTAATATTGTTAGGAGATAAGTTTTCAACTTCATTGAAATTTCTAAATAATTCCAATAAACTATTTGATTTTTCATAAATTGTATTAAAGATCGAATCACAAAACTTTGATGATATCATATATGGAGGTATTTCCCAGAATTGAGGCACCTTTATATAATGGTTTGTTTTATACTAATTTTATAATATATAAATAAAATATAAATTTTTTTTCAATAATATTCAAATTTATTTAATTAGAACTTTGAAAAAACTTGTCCGAATCTATCCAGCTGAAAACCGGATTGTACCGGACCTATTCTTCTATCAGATTGGGTCATATATGTTATTTATGTAAATATCTTTTATATTTTATTTTTCTGCTTTAATATATTTCATCGCTTAAAATTTTGAATATCTTTATAACAATATTTATCTTTAAAAAAATACATTAATATGGCCTATGAGTATAACTTAGTATCAAACATCTTATATAATAATAGATAAAATGTAACTCCATTTTTTGTCAAGTTAAAAATATATTTTTTAAAATTATGTTGTGAATACAACAGAACAAAATTAAGCCTCTAATTTCCATAAAATGGAAGAAAATTAATAGGAACTCTATGTGAATAAACCTTCCATGCTTAGTTGGCATACCGCGAGTACCTATAGAGAAAGAAGAGCTTGGGGCTTAAATCCACAGGCTGATACAAAAGGGTTAGGATATAAAAAACATCCGGGCCCCTGGAATTAGTTAAGATTTTTATATAATTTGAGAGGAAATTGTGTATCATTAAGCTAAATTGTAGGTGTATTTCAGAAGCAAGGGATAAAAATCAAAACCCCAGAAAGCACCCACACTAAATTTTTATACAAAATGGTGCATCGGGGATGCTATTACTTAAGTAAACGGTGAGTAAGAAATTGTATATTACATTATTTATCGTTTAAAATTATAGATTTAATCTTGTCATGTAAATAATACTTTGTTTCCTTTTAAGGGTGTAATTATTTGTTTATTAAAACGTGATTCCTTGATCTCATCGATCCCTATCTTTTGGATAAGTTTTAAGCTAGAATGTATATTTGTAATGACATCGATATATTTTTGAAGTTCCTTTAAGAAATATTTAAGTAAAGGTTTATCACATATATTATTATTTATAATTATCATTGATTTTTCTGACGTAATTTTCTTTTGAAAATCCTTTAATATAATTTATCTAATTAAGACGTTTATCTAAACAATAAATATACTTCATATAAATTTTCCCACAGTTGTAGCAAAATTGATATGATAGGTAATTCTTTATTATTCTCTAAAGAGAAAGTGTTTTTAATAGATGATGTAATGATAAGGGGTTTAATTAAATTCATATATGTAATTGAATTATCGGGTAATCCAATTGTTTTTAGGCTAATATCCTCTAGGTTCACAAAAAGTATCTCAAGTTCCTAAATCAAAGTTAGAATAAGTATATTATAAATCATAATTACCTCTATGGAATGGAGCTTTTTAATATCATGAAGGATATTTGTATGAAATGTTTCTGAATTCTGCCAACTCTTGGACATAATAACATCTATATAGTAATCTAAAATCTATAGATATAATAGATTATTTCACTTTATATTTATTAAATTTAAAAAAAATATTTATTATATTTATACAATGTTCAATTTTGATGGAATTAGGGGCTCTTGTATTGGTCGCAAGTTCGCTATCATTCATCTATAATTTCATGAATGAATCCGCCCCCCCCTCCCCTAAAGGGGTATTCCGATAAAACGGATTATCATATTTAGAAATATGATCACTTTGATTGGCAACTCTCAAAATCATTCCGTAAAATTTTTAAAGCCCTACTTGAATGATTTTATTTTAGGAAAGTAATTGTTTGGCACAAGATAAGCTCTCCCAAATAGCTAGCTTTTGTTGCAGCGTGAATATAGTGTGGGCTAGATAGTCAATCGAAATGACCTTTTAATAAATATTGTAGTACGATTTCTTTTCGTAAGGCTGTAAACAGTGTTAAACACTATCTTGGAAATAGATTTGTCATTATGTTTTTTCCACAACTTTAACTAATGGCATTGTTAAATTTTAATAAATTCGAGATGCTATATGGGGAGAAGTGTTTGACTTCTTTTGTTGACCAAAGATCAAGTAACGAAGTATTAGTATATTCTTTTGACACATAGAGATTCTGAGTAGATTCAGGAAATGTTTAAATTTTAAGCATACCATTCAATTTGTTTGTGAACATTCCTAACTATTTCTTTCGTTTCACGAATCCTCTTGATCCAACATTCATGCAAAATCAGTAAAGAAAAATTACAAAATATTATCATTTTTATCAATATTAGGCAAAGGATTTGAAGATTCATTTGTTAATGTAAATTAACGATATAAGAAATAGATGCATCCATTTTTAAGGATTATCAAAACATAAATCAGAAACACTATACTATAAATTATATATAAAAATTGGATTGATAGGTTAATGTTACACTACACAGTTCAAAAAATATCCACGTGAAAAAAATAATTTTTGCTTAAATGATAGCGACTATCAATTTTTAATTTCGGGAACTCTGCATCTAATATCAAATTCGTTTTAGTAAAAATATATTTGCCTGAAAAAATAGTGGTTACCGGGGCTCTACCCTTAATCTTGGATAACCTTGACAGGGTCTTTATTTGTAAGCCAATCCTGCCATCTCAAAAATAATTTATTGTATAATATGATCAGGGACCCGAACCTTTATTTATAATGGTTTAGTTTGGTTGCGGTTCAGTATGTAAAAAATTATAATAGTTACGGTTCGGTTACGGCTCTTAAGAAAAATTTACAGTTTCGGTTAGGTTCAGTTAATTTTAAAGGTTCATTACGATTATAATTTTTTTCTAAATTATTTTTATTGAAGCAACACCATCGTATAATGATTTTAATTATAAATATTATTTATTCAATTTTTTGCCATCACTTAAGTTAATAATATTGTTTATTTATAAAATAGATGAAATTAATTATTTTTATTATAAATATCTATGAATAACATATAAAAAAATATATAAGAATCATAACTCATTTCTAAATATATTATTTGAACGTATAAGTAGTTCGTTGTGGTGATAACACAAATTTTAGCCCCGAAAAAGCCCTTTTAACAGAAATTTATGTTGCGGGAACCATTATTACTATAAGAGCAAGGTTATATAATTTTGAATATTCAAATTTCTTTAATTCCCAATATATAAAAACTAATATTTTAGATTAATTAAATACAACTAGATCATAAATTGGTTATTTGGATATTTTTCATACTAAAATATAGAAAATAGGAATGCTTTAATACTATAAAGCAGTTAAAAGATTGTGGATCAATTTAAATCATAATGAAAAATTAATACATACTTCTTATGGATATTAAACAAATATTTTAATCGTTTAATAATTATAAATAACGACGTAGATATGGTAAAATATGTATTACACCACAAGGAAAAGAATGTAATAAAAGGTAAAATTATTTATTTTATTTTGTATGAAACAGTTCAAACCGTTTTAACTTTTTTTTATAAAGGTTCTTTTTACTCCTAAAATAATTACATCGATTCGGGGTTCAGATAATTATAAAGGTTTAGCGGTTCATTCTAGTTCACTCCGTGTTTATTTTTGGAATATTAAAACTTTTATATTTTTCTTTCTTTTACTTTTTGTAAAATGATTTAAATGACCTTTAACAAATAAGGTTCGGACGACCTTGTCGCAATTCTTTCTTTTTTCGTTTTTTGAAATAGATTTATATAATCTTTTAAAAACTTATATGTAAAAAACTTACTTGTAAAAATGTTTATAAAGATTGTAAATTTTCAGTGTAGATATATATAAAAAAAATAATAAATTTAAAATTTAGTATGGTGGCAGAACTAGATGAAAGAGGATTATGGAAAATGATGTTAAAATTCTAAAACACGTAAGAGATGATTAAAATGTAAAATTAAAAATAAATATAATAAAATTTTAATAATAAAATATTTAAAATATGAATAAACCTATATGGGACAATAAGAATAATACAAAATCCATAGATGAAATGAATTAGAAGATTATTTAATATACCATGAGAGTAAAGATGTTTTGAGTTTAACATTTAATCTACCAGATGACTTATATTTGCTTATGGATACAATGTTACCGATATATGAAAGTTCAAGTGAAGAAGCAATATCTATATTAAAATGTTTTTGAATTATAAAGAGGTAAAAGAGATAAATGAAAAATCAGATCAAATAATATATCTTATCCTAATAAAAATTTTAAAGGTTAAAATAATAAAAACTTGAATAAAATTAAATTATGTAAATTAATACCAAATGTTAAAAAAGAAATAAATTCTTATAAATTAAAAGAAATAAATCATATGATAACAATTGAAGAAATAATAGTGATTAAAGACAATAATGAAATAAAAAATTTTATAATTAATAAAAAATTAAAAAAAACTTTGGAAATAAAGAAAATTAAAACAAATATTAAAAAGAGAGGCAAAGTGATTAAATATCTTGATGTTGAAAAAGTTTTTAAGAGTATGATGTGGAGATCGTATATTGAAAATGGAAGGAGAAAGAGAATTTTTTTTATAAAGAACAAGTTGAAGATAAATTATGATATAAAAAAATTGTTTAAATTCGTTTAAGTAAGGGGCTTTGCCTCTTGCGCGCACAGATAACTGCGGCCTGCCCAAAAAACGTGGATGGTCCTCTTATTTATTTATTTAATTATTCCCCATTCTTTTATCCCAGTTAGATGGGCTCTTATGAGAGAACCAAGCGTTGCTCTGTCATATATATATCTTTGATATATATATGACATTTTAGGACTAGTGCGCTTAATATCACGTATCCCGTAAAAATAAAGGAGTAAAATTTAAAAATAAAAATAATTAAATAATAAATTATTATATAAAACGAGGCAATTCCAAATATTCTATTATTCTATATTCCAAATTATGATTCTTATTCTTATGAATGATTTCGATATATTATTTATTCCATTATCATTTCAATTAAAAATTATTTTATTTGAGATATATTGATCATAATATATATTTACAAACATTGATAAATAAATAAAAATGATAATAAATAACGAGATGAACAAGCTAATGTGAGGATGATGTTCAAGCGAATGATTAGACGATAAGGATAACAAGCTAAGAACAAATCAATGAAAAAGATATGACTGAGGCTAAACAACGAACATAATATCAAATGAAAATTCTACAACAAAGCAAAATTTTTAGAGGGGGGAAGAAGTGAACAAGTTCAAGTTCAAAATTCGAAAATTCAAAGTTCAAGTTCAAAATTCAAGTCAAGTTCAAAAGCGAGAATATGACTTACGACATAGAAAATGATTTTTATAAATAAATAAAAAATTTTGTAAAAAAAAATATATATATAAATTTTTGAAAGAGAAATGGGATGATCAATACAAACAGCAAATCAACAAGCAATGTTCAAACAACGATGTTTCACAAACGATGTTCAATAAACGATTCAACAAACGATAATCCGATGTTTAAACAAACAATCTCAAGATATACGAACAAATGACTAATAGAGCAATTGAGAAACAAATGACTGGAAGTGAAGATAAGAAACTGAGGAAAGAAGACATTTAAAAAAAGAAAGAAATGTTAATATAAATTTTTTGAATATTAAAACTTTTATATTTTTCTTTCTTTTACTTTTTGTAAAATAATTTAAATGACCTTTAACAAATAAGGTTCGGACGACCTTGTCGCAATTCTTTCTTTTTTCGTTTTTTGAAATAGATTTATATAACCTTTTAATATTTAAAAAAACTTACTTGTAAAAATGTATATAAAGACTGTAAATTTTCAGTGTAGATATATATAAAAAAATAAAATAAATTTAAAATTTAGTACTCCGGGTTCCTGATTGTGATAATTTTTCTATAAAAATAATATCTCTTATATAATAAAAGGCTTGTCACATTTTATGACATCACATTTTTTTGCCGTGTTTTGTGAAAAGTGTAACAATACCTGAATTTATCAAAATAACCATTAAATGCATTAACTAAAAATTTGTCCAAGCATTTAGGGCTATGTCCTCACCGCAAGCTTACGTAATGCCTGCACAAG